CACTCAATCACATCTTCCAGTGGGGCTTATAACATGATTTCTACCTCAAGAAAAATTGAATTTGTTATTAATTTGATAAAATAAATAAATAAATAAAACTATGGTGGGTTGATGTTATATGGGGGAATTCCACAATCCACAATTCCACCACTCAATTATTGTTATTTCGGAATTTAATGACAAGTTGGAAAGTCATCCTCAATCATTGTCTCAGTGCTCGACCAACCATTTCATTGAGTGAAGGACATAATCGATGAGGTCTGACTCTTCATCGGAGTATTATATGTCCAACTTGTAACATGCGGACACTGTTGTCACTGTCTTTGTTAATGCCTAATTACCATTATTATTATTTATCATACATAATAAAACTGCAATTTGCATTTTGCAACGCTTTGTTTTTATTGTTTATATTATAATTAATTAATATACAGATAAGGACTATGATTTTAAAATTGAGATAATTTCACTTTTGATTATTTCTTGTGATATTTTTATAATTTTAAAATTTTCACTATTACAGACCATTTGGTAATATATATATATATATATATATATATATATATATATATATATATATCATATTTTCATGAAAATTTTAATTTATGGAGAAGCTCTCAGCCGCTATTTAAAGGCGGAGTTTAGTATATGTGAAGCCCGTTTTATAATTGTAATTGACAAAGGACCATAATGAGGTAAATCAACCTAAGTTATCCATAATTGATCAGTTCAAACAAAAAAAGTCAATAGATAAATCTTACATGGAGTCAAACTTGAAATATTATGGTTATCATAATAACTATCCGGCCAGTTTGATTAGGAATTACTCAACACTGGCAACCAAAAAAAAAAAAAAAATTACTCAACACTTTCATGAAAAATTAAAGAACGAAAAAGTTATTGTATATTTGGTACATATTGTATATGTGGCTCTCTAAAATAAGGAAAGTAAATCTGGAATATAGTTGGATTCTCCCCCTGCCCGGCTGCCCCCCCCACCCCCCCCCCACCCCCCTTCCTTTTTAAAATATTTATAAATGTGTTAAGGGTATATTAGGTGTTACAAGTATTTTAAGTGTGAAATTTATTTTTATGTTTTAGGTAATTAGTTAATATGTCCGAAGTTCCTCAAAAAAAAGTTAATATGTCCGAAGTTGTTATCGACAAAAATATTATTAGTAATTATCTTCCCAAAATTTTAATCGATTGAAAACTATGAAGTCACCTCTTAAGTTAACTATTCGTGATCTCTCGATTTTTTTTTTTTCAAATTGATTAGATTCAGTGTAAAATATCCAAAATATCCTTTGCCACCAAACTTCAACTAACATTCTACATACGTGAGCATTTAAGATGTTTTAAACTTTTGAAGTGATTAGAAGCGTTTACTGCTTTACTTAATAGTTGATAATTAAAAATGAAAATATTAACATAGTAAAAATTAACAAGTGAAATTATTAGTTTAAAAAAAAATTCCGTTTTTCAATTCCAACGTAGCGCCAAATCGTTTTTTTTTTTTTTTTTTTTTTTTTGGCCGTTCGTGAACATTGTTGTGCTAAATGTGGCGCAACATTGTTCATCCACGCCAATTTTGGGGTAAATTTTTATTCCTGTTTTACCCTTAATTTTATTTGTTAATTCCTTTTGTATTTTTTTTATGTATTTATATCTTTTGTTTAAAAAATTCCGTTTTTCAATTCCAACGTAGCGCCAAACCGTTTTTTTTTTTTTTTTTTTTTGCTGTTCGTGAACATTGTTGCGCTAAATGTGGCGCAACATTGTTCATCCACGCCAATTTTGGGGTAAATTTTTATTCCTGTTTTACCCTTACTTTTATTTGTTAATTCCTTTTGTATATTTTTTCATGTATTTATATCTTTTGTTAAATACTTAAACATAAATGTTATATTATTATAAATAAATTATATCATTTGGGAGATCTTATCAAGACAATTAAAACAAGACTAATATTGAATATATATTAATTAAAAATTAAAACAAATCAAACATAACAACAACATAAAAATAATGTTATTAATTTTTTTATTATTATTTTTACATCACAAACTATATTTTATATTAAACTAATTAAATTCGAATTAATACAATTTTAAAATTAGAGAAATCATATTATTTTAATGTAGAATAACATTTGATGTAAAAATTTGGTGTTTTGATGTATTGAGTTGGAGATGAATAAAATTTAGTGTAAAAATATGCTGAGAATATTCTATTTGATATGATATTTGGCGAATATTTTTGGTATTTTAGTGTCAAATAGGTTGGAAATGCCTCTCATACCTAGCAAATTATATATGGTGTATTTGTGTTTGAAAGGGCAGAATCACTTATTTTTTGACATGAGCGTATCAGAATATGAGACATCAAAATCCTTGCCTTCAAAGTATATCTGATGAATGGAGTGGTGTGCGGCTGTGAATATTCAAACAGTGTTTGATGAATTGGGCTAATTTCTTTCAAATCCTGACTAAAGACAAAATAACCCACTGTTTCATTTTAGATGCAGCTGGCTTCTTGAATCTTGAGTTGACCCCACTGCTTTCAAACCCAGAAAGTAACACAAGAAAAATGCAAATTTTCTTACATATCCAAATGATTTCTAAGTTATTATATGGGAAATTCTATTTACACCACCTATTTAATAGATATAATAATTTTATAGACGGTGCAAATAAAAAAGTACTATTTATATCACTATTATTAAATGTGGCCAATGTGTAATATTTATTATTCATTTTTTAACAATTAAAATATTAATTATTAAAAAAAAAAAACATAAGAACCCATCACCTTCTCCCGTGAGAAGGCGAGGGACTGCCTTCTCACTGGAGAAGGCGACCCTGGTAGAAATACGGAGTGGGTTGCCTTCTCACCGGAGAAAGCAGTCCAGTTGCCTTCTCTGATGAGAAGGCAGCCCCTCGCCTTCTTACCGGAGAAGGTGACTGTCTTTTTTTTTTTTTTTTTTTTTTTAAATATATAAATGTTTTAATTAATTAAATTTTGAATTAACAAATTATTAATTGCGAGTTTGACCATGTGGTGTAAATAGTAAAATGTACATCATTTGGCTATTTACGCCACCTATTAATTATTAAAAGTTTTTACTTTTTTACAATTTCAAGATTCTTTATACCTACTTTTGGTCAAAGAGCGGTGTAAATAGCAACACCCTATTATATACTACCCAAATTTTGTAAAGGCACGTTTGGTTCGCTGGAAAATATTTTTCAAAGAAATATTGTTCTTAAATTTGAGGATTTTTTTTTTTTTTTTGGAAAACATTTTTCATGGTCCCCCATTGGTATTTTGTGTTCAATAGAAAGTGTTTTTTTATGAAAAACAAGTAGACAATTATGCTCTCACCAAATTTTCTTAATTACCATTATTATTGTTGTTGTTATTATTGTGTAATGGTATAATTGTCTTTATACTAATTATTACTTACAATTTCAAATCGAACCAAACAACGTAATCGATATTATCAGTAATTTATTTTCTACCAACCAAACAATATAATTTTTCTTCCCATTAATTTTGTTCCATGAAATTTCAATTCCATTTCCCCTCTAATATTTTCTGCGAACCAAACGAGTCATAAGAGTATGTATTTTAAAAGCATATATATATATATATATATATATATATATATATATATATATATATATATATATATATATATATATATATATATATATATATATATAGAGGGATGCACTCAGGTGCGAATAAGTGCCCAGGAAGAAATATGCGAACGAATCAGCACGCGATACGTGTCTAGATCTAATAGCTTAAAAAAACGCGGTGGCATTTTCGTAAATAATTAAACATCAAAGTGCAAGTAAAATCACTTACAAGTGCACCTACTTTCACCTATAAGTGCATGTAATTTTACCTTGTTAGCATTCACTTCCCGCAAACATTCATGCACCTGGGTGTGTTTATAACTATAGGTGCAATTATTTATAACTATAGGTGTAACTACTTATAACTATAGGTGCACCTATTTTCACATATAAGTGCATGCAATGTTGCCTTGTTAACATTCATTGATCTGAGTTCAGCGGGTAGTAATACCCCTGAAAACCACCCGCAAACATTCATGCACTTAGGTGCAACTACTTATAACTATTTGTGCAACTACTTATAACTATAGGTGCAACTACTTATAACTATAGGTGCACTTAGTGTTGATGCTCAGTGTAAATTTTTACTTGCACCTATAATACATTTTACATGCACTTGTAATACATTTTACTTGCACTTCAATGTTCAATTATTTACGAAAATGTCACCGCGCTTTTTAAAAAATCAGTGTTTTTCATTCATTAAATCTGGACACGTGGACGGACAGAATCCATTCCTATTTCGCTCCTAGGCGAAGCATTCGCACCTGAGTACAATTATATATATATATATATATATATATATATATATATATATATATATATATATATATATATATATTAGTGAGACTGAGAATTCATTTGACTTTTATCTCATATTTTCTTTATGCTTTTACTAAATTTTATTTACATTTATTCAATCATTTAATGTACGATATTTAGCTATTGTACTCATCTTAATTATTTTACATGCCTTATACCCTTATTTATTAGATCAACATTTATTTATTTGTTTACTCCAGAGTATAATTTTATATTTAATACTCCGTAGTACTTTTGATATAACTTTTATATATTAACATTATACTAAATATTACGGAATATATAACATTAAATTATAAATACCTTTGAAATAGGGTCAATAAAGTACTATTTTTATATGAATTCATTCATTCATTATTTATTAAACTAAAATAAGAAGAAAGAAAGATTAGTGCCAAAATATAATTGGCAAACGTGCTTATTGTCTGGTAGCTGACAAAACTGACGTGGCCATTGCTTGGCGGTGGGCCCCACGTTTGTCCGCAGCCCTTACGACAGTGACAGCGACCACTCGCTGCATAAAAACCGTCTAAAATTAATCAACAGAGACTCGGACTAAAAGGAGGAGAGGGAACATGAAACGGTGAAATAAAGGGAAAAAAAAAGGGAGGGTTAGAGAGTTTACGAACTCGCCGGCGGCGGATTTCGGAGAGTTCTGGCATCCGGTGATGACTGTTCGGTAAAACCCTAAAAAGTTTTGACCTCGTAATTCGGGGGCATCTCGGGTTCGGGTCTCAGGTGAGATGGGGATTCATTGGGACGACGGAGTTATAATCGAGCATGGGAAGAAAACCGGCGACCCTACCGTCGTGACGGTGAATTGCCCTGACAAAGCTGGCCTCGGATGCGACCTCTGTCGAATCATTCTCGAATTCGGACTCTATGTTACTCGTGGAGGTTAGCAATCTTCACTTGCTATTTTTTTTTCTTTTCTTTTTTATTGCATCTGTGGTTTATTGGCAAAGGTTCAACTTTTATGCTCTCTTTTGGGGTTAACTTTGTTGAATTTTAAGAATTCTAATGGAAATTTATTCGTATAATTGAACAACTGGTTCACTAATGAACATAAATTGTTTGAAATCTGACTTGATTTTTCGGACTATTAAAGCCCAGCAGATATTTATTTATTTATTTTGGTTACACTCTTCTGATTTTGTTTATTTTATTATATTAACTGTAACGACTGGATTAAAACTGAGATGGGACATTGAAGAGATCTGAGTTCTTTGAGAAAAGGATTTGACTTAATGTCTTAATACTTGAATTGCCCAAATTTGATAAATATAATCTTGAGTCCACTCTCAACTGAAACAAGCTTTAGGAATCGGATGTATTATATCTAATGTAAAATATTTGTGTTTAGTTACCGCAGAAATTAGTCATTTATCTAGAAAAATAGAAAATTGGAGATATGAAACTTGTTTTCTAAAACCATTTTTCTATAACTTGGAGAATCCATTTAACTAATTCTCCAAATTTGGAGAGATGGAGAAAGCCACGGATGAACAGTAGATTTACACTTCAATCCCTTGCAGCAACATTTTTCTAACCTTTTATTTCCTAGAGAAATGGAAAATTGGAGAAACGGAAAAACTGAAAAATGGATAACAGAGATATGAAGTAAATGGCTTTGGGTCACGTCTTTCATTCCAAATTCCTATATGCATGACTGAAAGTGAATTTTATGGCTTTGTATTTGTAATTTCATCAGTTTATTATGTTCTGAAAGGTTTAGCATCTTGGTGATACACTGATACTATTTCTTGAATATAGATATCTCTACTGATGGAAAGTGGTGTTACATAGTACTGTGGGTTGTTCCACGGCCAAGCTCATTGAAAATTGATTGGGAAAGCTTGAAAAATCGGCTTGTATCTGCATGCCCTTCCTGTATGATTCCCTTTTTTGTAGAACAACAGTCCAGCAGTTGCTCACATTCTCCAATATATCTCCTAAAAGTATTTTGTGTGGACAGGAAAGGACTATTACATGGTAAGTACAAAGTCGTTTCTGCCTTTTTCGCATAATTATTTGCTTCATGACTTCATATACAGAGTAATTCTTATTTATGGCTATTGGATTTTTAGATGTTACCAAAGTCCTTTGTGAGCTTGAGCTATCAATACAAAGATTAAAAGTTATGACAACGCCAGATGGGAAAGTCTTGGATCTCTTCTTCATAACAGATGGCTTGTAAGTTGTTAGTTTGGAGTTTAGTATGTTTATGGATCCTTTTATTTGATTGGTTAATGATACTCTGCATTCCTTACCATTTCTTCCCATTGGATATTTATGTGAGAGCATGTTCTTCCTGCAATTGCTTGACATGAAATTTTGTATGAAGTGTTTGAAAACAAATTTAACTTGGGAATGGATCCCTAGAGCCAGTTATGTGGTGAAGTCTTAGCATTAATATTGGGGTGTACATAGTTTTGGCAAACAATTAATTAAGCAATCATGTTTTTTGTGTAGACTGATTGCATGCTTAGCTGCAGATTTTAAATGGAAGTTGAGAAGAAGAAACATAATGATTATTCATAGTATATTGAGTATTGTAAATCTTGTCGGCTTGTTAAAAAACCTCCTGTCTGCATTCTCAGTTTTGTCTTTTCTATGGAAAATAACCTTTCTGATTGATAAGAACTTGGACCTGGTTAATGCTATGGATCTCAATTTACATTTCTAACTTCTAGTAGTTTGATTTAGCTAATCAATTTTTTAGGGATCTGCACTTGTTTAACGAGATTCAAACTGTCTCTTATGCATCAGTAGAAGTTCTTTCTACAGAAAACTGTCTCTTATGCTGCTCTTTTTATACATTAATAGGGACTTATTACACACAAAGCAACGGCGTGATGACACATGTGAACATCTAAGCAAAATATTAGGAGAATATTGCATCAGTTGTGAGCTTCAGTTGGCAGGGCCTGAATATGAAGGTCAGCAGGCATTCACTTCTCTTCCTCAACCAGTTGCTGATGAATTGTTTAGATGTGAATTGCCTGAGAAGGAATCCTCAGATGCAACAAAAGATAAGAGGGCCGTTGTCACAGTGGATAATTTTCTGAGCCCAGCTCATACATTGCTTCAAATACAGTGCATTGATCAGAAGGGTCTCATCTATGACATTTTGAGGACTTCAAAGGACTGTGACATTCAGGTAACTTGTCTCTGTTTCTTTTGAAGCAATTTCAGTGTGAAGCCTGCTTGTTCTTGAAAGCTGAATTCTGTTTGAGGCTATAATGAAGGTCACTCGTAAAATTACCCAATGTATTTGTTGGAGCTATTTTGTTTAAATTTTTAAATGGACTGAGAAAAATTAGGTTTTGAGTCTCTTGAAGTATCCTTCCGGACCTTCTGGTTTCTCTGTCCTGCCTTCTATCTTATCATTGGCTTGACATTTTTTTACAAATCTAATGGATGTAGTCTTGATGTTTGCCATCTAGATTGCATTCGGAAGAATCTCTTCTACTGCCAAGGGCTACCGGACTATGGATTTATTCATACAAAAGACAGATGGGAAAAAGATTATAGATCCTGAGAGCCAGGAAGCATTGTGCTCTCGCTTGAAGGAAGAGATGCTCCATCCATTTCGAGTCATGATTGCCAGCCGTGGCCCTGATACAGAACTATTGGTTGCGAATCCTGTCGAATTATCTGGAAAGGGGAGACCTCGTGTGTTTCATGATGTCACAGTTGCCTTGAAAACTCTCGGGATTTGTGTATTCTCGGTAAGGAGCTCGAAAATTTGACTATTTTCCATTTACCTGTTACTGTTTTAGCTTCCTAGTGAAGTTATATTCACATCATTTGTGCACGTATCCATTATGTATACTTTTCACTGGTCTGTAGGCTGAAATCGGTAGGCATTCAACATCAGATCGGGAGTGGGAGGTGTATAGATTCCTTTTGGATGATACTCCGAAATTTCCATTAGCTAGCAAGCAAGCTCGAAGTGACATTGTAGATAGAGTAAAAAAGACGCTGATGGGCTGGTGAGAGTTCAGAATTTACTTCTTCATCATGAGCAAGTAACTATTCCTGAATATGATTTCTTTCCAAGCCTTCTGGTGAACTCTCTAAATTCAACTAGACAATGTTATCCAAGTGTACCTAGACAATAAATTTGTCTGTTGAAAGGGATATTAAACTTCAACGAGAACTCGAAGCCCGATGTGAACAGGAAGGCTTTATACTGAAAATGTTGGGGTTTGCAAAGCTGTATTGGTGATGTCTGATTTGGTTTCTATGCTATCTGTATAACTTGATGTAGGTTTCTGAAATTATTTCATTTCCAGTTATCATCTCCTTATGTGTTCTGTCAATTTGTGTTGTATATACTATTTCTTTGGTAGACAGCTAAAAGATTGTTCTTTCCATCTTTTAAAATGTGTGTTGACTTAATCCAAATTTAGATGCCTAACACCTACAATTTGCAGGATATGTAGTTAATTGCAATGTGTTAAGAAAATATGTATTTGCTTGGTTACCATAAAAGTTTAAGTTTGACTTTTTGTGGGAGCTATGTATTGACTTTTGCGATTTGAGCATGTTAGTTATGAGCAATAGCAAGTGTTTTGACAATATTATATTTGTTATGGAAATTCCAATATAACTACACATTATATAGTAATTATGGTAGAAAATTTATGTTTACAATTTGGTAGGTTCATAAGTCTAGACTCCGATTCGATACCTTACCCTATGGAAATTAAAAATCCTTTTAAGTGGAAGATATTTTTATGGAAAATTATAAGTGATATCTTTCTCACCACCAACAACTTGCTTATAAAGAGGGTGGAAATTAAAAATCCTCTTAAGTGGAAGATATTTTTATGGAAAACTATAAGTGATATCCTTCCCACCACCAACAACTTGCTTATAAAGAGGGTAGATGTGATCCGATTTGTGTATGTGTGGAATCAATCATGTGGATACTATGCACTCATTGGTATCGTGTGGCTATACAAATTCCATATGGGCTCAATCTAGCCTTCCACTTTCCAATATTATAACACATATTTTTTATGAATGGTTTAGTGCAATGTTAAATGTTCTAGACATAGATGGAATCATGTACACAGCTGCAATTCTATATCATATTTGGAGAGCACGGAACGGAGCGGTATGGGATGCCTATCTACCATTGCCCAGGAAGTTGATTGCCACAGCAACGGCCACGCTGCAGGCATGGCGGCGAGTACACCGCACCGCGGCCGATAGAGTAGCTGCTGCCACTACTGAGGGACCGCCTGCTGCCACCACTGCCAAAGGGCCAGCTACTGTCACCATCGCCGAGCCGTCAACGCTTCCTCCGCTGCCAAATACTGTTCCGGCACCTACCACTGCTGCACAACGGTGGAGATGCTACGTCGATGCCGGGTACCGTCACGCCACAAACACGGTCACCGATGGAGCGGTCATACTGGACGCCGATGGTGGCTATGTCTCGGCCTTCAGTGTCCCCCTACCGAGTTGCTTTTTCCCACTTATGGCCGAGGCATTCGCAGCCAAAGAGGTCCTATCATGGTTACAGGTTCGTGGAGAACAGTCTGTTCAACTGTATACGGATTGTCATATGCTTCAGTGCTACCTATCCTCGTCAGATGCTCCGCCCCGATCATATGCTGGTTATGCTATTGATGGTTGCAAAGTTTATATATCGGCGTTTAATGCCTGCTCAGTTGTTTTTATTCCTAGATCGCAAAACTACTTAGCTCACACTTTATCTTCTACTGCTTTTGATCATACTATGGCTATGTATTGGGACACTATTCTAACAGACTCTATTTCAACCTTTATCTAAATATAACCACATTGGTTGCTTTCAAAAAAAAAATAAAAAATTGAATTTTGGTGATGATAGTTGGTAAATTAACAATTCAATTGACATTTGCTAGTGATCACAAATGAGCCTTGCGACTTGTTTCCAGACTAGATCTGCTTAAGAAGACTGCGAGATTAATATGGGCAAATTATGCTGTGGAACTTTGTCGACCTTGTAAGAGGGACACGGTTTTTAAATTGTTCATAATTATGAATATATAATTCAAAAATTATGAACATATAGTTGTATAATTATGAACATAGAATTGTGAATATAATTATGAACTAGTCGTGGGCACGCGATTTGCGCGAAACGTCATGCCCAACAATCAATTAGTATGTTCTAATTTTTTATTTTTTATCTTTAATGTTCTAATTTTTAAATAATAATATATATAATTTTTAATAATTGTTATATGACAAAATAAATAAGAATACATAAATAAGTTATTTAGATACCAACATGATATACAAGAATTGAATTAGCTACATGTAGGAGGGGACATTAGATTTGGTTTTGAGGGAGAGAATGAAAATGTTAGCTAGAATATAGTGGTTTTTTAGAAAAAAAAATGTTAAAAAAAAAAAAGTGGGAGGGGACATTAGATTTGGTTTTGAGGGAGATAATGAAAATATTAGCTAGAATATAGTGATTTTTTAGAAAAAAAAATGTTAAAAAAAAATGGAGTGTTGGAATGATGGAGAAAAAAAGAAGACAAAGATCATATCAATGTAAAGAGGAATAAGTTAAAAAAATAATGATAAAGTTGTTATTTCTTTAAAAATTGAGGGCAATTAAAATGAAAAAATAAATTAAAAATTAAATAAAAAAAATTACATCCATTACATTTGAAATCAATGGTAAGTAAGGGTGCCATTTATACATTATTTTTTGAATTTGTAGGAGGCATGGTGTCCATGGGCCTATAACTTTTCTTATAAACCTTATATATTATTATTAAATATAATATTATAAAAATATGAATTTATAAATAATTTCAGTCAAATTATATTAATGGAACCAAAGTATAAAATGATACAAAGAGATTACCTTGAAATATTCAATAGCCAAGCATGGTTACAAATTATTTACTCATAAATATTTTATTTGTAACGTATTAAGTACTAAAAAAATATTAAAATTAGTGTCAAGTAGCTTGTAACTCAATATCGTAACACCTATGTGACTCTTCCAAATGAGAGGTCACATGTCCCAACTTTAATCGGGGTATCGACTTTTTGTGCTTCAATAAATTTAAAAAGTATGTATAGACAAATATTATATTGTAATAGAGTCAATAATGCTAAAAAAAAAACTAAAATTAGTATACCAATATTGATTAAACCCGTCGCCTATTAACAAAGAATTTTAAAAAACCATTTTAATAACAATTTAGAAACTAAAAAATAAAAATGTAAGGTGTATAAATGAAATCCACTATTTAGAGTACTATATATTTCAAAGGACCCAAGTGAAATTTGCCCAAAAAGAAAACTAAAAGGTAACCAAATTGGTACTTAGCGCATGCCAGCTAATAGAACCCCACCGATACGCACGAAAATAGTCAATCTCTCTACATACGAATATACGGATACGTATTGAGATTATAATACATACATACATCTTAAATACCATACGGTAATAACACATCTCACAGAGAAGAAGAAGAAGAAGAAGAAAAAGAAAGACAGTTGTTTGAGTTGTCTCCTTTTTTCCGTTATTCAAATGTAGTATTCGCAGAATCATCCACACTCTGTTTCAGTTAAATCTATGTCACATATAGATACGTATACGGTATATCTACGCATGTGTACCGGTGGATTGTAGACACAGACTGTGAGGTTAAACATCGGAGTTCCGATGACGACGAATTATAGCACGTCCCGGAGTCCGGGGAGCTCGAAGTTTCAGTTGGGCGGGAGTGCGAGTCTAGCATCCAGGCTGAGATCGTCGTCGTTGAAGAAGCCGCCGGAGCCGCTGCGCCGAGCTGTCGCGGATTCTCTCTCGGCTTCCACGCCGGCAAACCATGGGACCATCTCCTCGGCCGCTGCGACCGAAACGTCGCGGACTCTCCGGGTTAGAATTGGCACCGTTTCTGTTGCTTGATTTTTTTTTTTTTTTTTTTTTTTTGTCTGTGTTCGAATCTCGTTGATTGTTAGGGTATTTTAGTGTGAGATCTGGTCCTAATTTAGCTGTGAAGATTCAAATTTCTTGGCTTGTATAGCTCTAGTCCTAGATTGTTTAAGCTTTCGCCATTGGATTCGAAAAGATGGACGTAGAAATAAAAAGCTGAGCTTGGGGCAATTGTTTTAATTTTTTTTTAATAAAATGAAAACTTAAATAAATTAATGTCTTTAGGTGGAGGTTGCTCATTTTCTTATCTTGTTAGAATGTAGTGATTTTGTGTCTCTTCTGGGGGTGCAGAGATGTGTTCTGTTTCTATCTGGAGCAGGAAGAGAAGAGGGAAATAAATAAATAAAAACAAATGCTTTGTTGAACACTCCACCCTTTCTCCTCAATTTGTTAGGTTATTAGCTAATTGAAATCCTTGCTGTCTGCTTTCTCTTTAGTTATCTTATTTACATTATGGTTTGTTGAGCATTTTGTTGCTTTTATTTTTAAAGATTGTGTTTAGAAGTGCTAACTTAATAAATAGTCTCCATGTTAATGATTGAATTTTTATTGTCGCCGTAAACTCCACATTTTTACTTTTTTGCCCTAAGATCGTGACATTTGTTATCTAATGCCCAATACCTATTCATTATTTACGACGTTACAAGCAGAAGTGGTAGTTTGTGAGGTTGTCTCTTATGTGTCTATCCCGCAAAACTTATTAAGCTTAATGTGGTTGTCACATGCCATTTATGAGTTCTGATTGTTGTGTTTAATTGACCTTATAGGCTTATACTCCAATTGTTTTGCCTTGAGACCAAGGTTGAAAAAATCGCTAGGCACCTTGGGACCGCCTAGGGCGCCTAGAGCAATTAATCGGCGCCTAGGCGCCATTTTTGCAACACTGCTTGAGACTCAATGTAAGAGGTCTTAGGTTCAACCCCTCTCCCGACATGACGTAGAAAAAAAAAAGCAATCTGAATTAAAAAATAATTGAACCACAAATGGATTTTCGACTGTTCAGTAGGAAACATTCTGGAGTATATTTTAGAATGAAGTTCTGGAATGCAATTGAAACTTGGCCATACTAAAAAGATCATCTCATAGTTGGCTCCTTAATGTGAGCAATTTAAATGTTTTGGATTATTCTTGCCCTTGGATTGCACCATTTTGGCGTTTTCAATGAATTCTACATTTTTGCTTAAATAGTTATTTAAAGCAAATCTGAATGCTTTTTAAATATTAACTTCAGTTCTTAAAAAAATTTGATGGCTGATGGTCAGTAGACATGTTCTTTTAGCTTTAAGTCTGTAAAAAATGCAAACTAGCAAAATTACATTATTAATGATGTATATCTACTCTTCCACAGGATTACTTGGCAGCATATCAAACAACTGATTTGGCTTATGGTGTAATTTTAGATCATACCCTAGCCGAACGTGAACGCAGGTACATATCTTAATTAGTTAGTAACTTATTTTATATGCTTTAAATCACAATAAAAAACGAGGAAGGATTTAGTTTTATCTATAGCTTGGATTTAGTTGGTCAATTCACTTATTCTTGTCTCTTAGTTTTATTCCAGATCCCAGGTGGTTTTGTTATGAAGGTTTCTGTTTTCTTGTTCTATTAGTCTTATTTAGTACTCCATATGGGGGCTTATTGACAAAGTTCGTTAGCCAAGTAATTGAAATTCACAATATTTTTAATGCTTTTCTATTGACGAATTAATCATTTGGTTATTTTCTTTCTCCACTAATGCTTTTTTCCCCCCTTTAAACCAGCCCTGCGGTGGTAGCAAAATCTGTGGCACTTTTGAAACGATATCTTTTAAGGTACTTTCTTCCTATTACAGCATTTAAATGTGTAACATAAATAATTAATTATATGACACTACTAGCCTCTCGATTGATGTTGAACCTCCCTTTAGAACACATTGTATTTGTCCAGAGTATATTAATTTATCATTTTGCTATTCTGTAATTTTCTTTAAAGAATTAGAATTTTTTCATATTTGGTGAGTGCAATGTTTTTGGGTATCTTGAGGTGGCTTTAAAATTTAGGAGCTGTGGAGATAATGCAAAATGAGAGTTGTCATTGTAATGTACAAGGTGAAAATAATGGGCTCAAAGCATTGTTTAATTATATTATAATAATCAGAAATTGGAAACTGAATAATATTTCTGGTACTACGCAGTTCTGTGGTATCTGATGCCAGATCTTTTTTACTTTCAGCAAGAATTAGCTTGGGATTTGAAGTTAGTGTAAGAGTGGCATTGTAATGGTGAATTAGGCCGCAGATATGATAATAGAGTAGGAAATTGGGGCAACAAAGGGAAAGCTTAGATATATTCTCTAAAAACATTAGGTTTGTCTGTGGAAAATTAAAATAACAGCAATGATTGGAAACTTTTTCAGTTTTTCAAGGTTAAGTACATATTTGTATGTATGTGCATCTGTGTGTGTATACATATATTGTATATTTGTATATATGTCTATAGGTGTGTGTGTTTGTGTTTGTGTTTGTATATGTTTATATTAATTAATTAGTTAATTTTCTTTTGGGGGTGTGTTTACATTTGATGGGAGGGAGACTGAAGTGGTGAGGAGGCATACTCTTGGTCAGTTGAGCCAAGGGTCAATGATTTCTTTGAAGCTAAGAGCATCCATATCAGTTCAAACATTTTCACGGTTTTTAAAGCTCCATCTAGGAAAGAGAAAGAGGGCAAGAAAAAAGGAGAAGAAAAAAAAAGGAAATAAAGAAATAAATCTGACAGCCTCAGATGAAAAGTAAAAAAAAAAAAAAAAGCTTAAAACTGAAACAAAAACGCGCACAGTAGGCGCGTGCTGGCTGCGCTCCATGCGCAGCAACTCAATGCCTTTCCTCTTTTCTCTCAAATGGCGGGTCCCACAAAAATACTACATTTGCAGGGAAAAAAAAACCTTCTAAAAACCCATCTCCACATCAATAAAAAACCACCCTGATCAGTTAGTTTGGGTAAAATTGAAGATTGATCAAACAAGACTTTACTAGAATCATTCTTTTTCTATAGTCTTTATGAGAATCATTATCCTATTAAGTATTAACAATCTACACCTCTCACCATTATGACCATGTTATTTCTTCTGTTTACTGCAGGTATAAACCAAGTGAAGAGACACTGCTACAGATTGATCGGTTCTGTTTAAGCATAATTGCTGAATGTGATATGACTACAAATCGAAAACTGGCACCATTATCACGCCCATTAAGTCAACAAAGTGGTGCATCAGCAGCATCTACCACTGTATCTCCTTTACCAGTGTCAAGTTTTGCCTCAGCTGGACTTGTGAAGTCCTTAAGTTATGTCCGTTCTCTAGTGTCTCAAAATATCCCAAAGCGGTCATTTCAAACAGCAGCTTTTGCTGGAGCACCTTTGGCATCAAGGCAAGCACTTCCATCGCTGTCATCTTTATTGAGAAAATCCTTCAATTCCCAACTAAACCCTTCAAATGTTAAAGAATCTCCAAAGAATAAAGAAATTTCTACTGTATCTGCGTCTGATTCACCAATTCTCGAAGAAGTTGATACCCTGGAAGATCACGATTTCATGGCAGTTGATGTATTTAAGTGGCGCTGGTGCAGAGACCAACAACTGTCATCAACTTTGCCTAATAGGTAGTTAATTTGTTTGGTGGTGCTACTCTTGTTAAAGTTTTGATTACTCACTTTGTTTGGCATTTCATGATTTTGGAAACCTAAACTTTCAGTGACCAAATTTTGAATCCCAAAGATGTTGGTGCTCATAATTTCCTAGAAGTAGGCGCTGCAGCTCTGCTTGTAGGGGACATGGAAGCCAAAATGAAGGGTGAGCCTTGGAGAATCTTTGGCAGTGCTGAAATGCCTTACCTAGATCAACTATTGCAACCATCTTTGCTGACTACTGTCACAAATTCTGCCTCTGCTCGTGCACACTTAAGAGCAATTACAGCACTAAAGCGCTCTAAAGCAGGGCCTAATCAAATATGGTATATTCCTACTCAGTACCTCAAAAGACTATTGTATAAGTTTTTTTATTCTTGTTAGCTTGGCTTTATCATTGTTGTTGAAGTTGTCTTGCTTTATTTAATGTCACTACAAGAACAAGAAACTTCTATAATTTATATATTTTTGTCACTTATCTTCTGTCTCTTCTTTTAGTTTTTGAGGTTATTAATAAGATTGTAAATTCTACATCCAGGAGCCTTATGCACTGGGGCATTTCCAGCAATGGTTGTGAACTTTGTGACTACATGTCATTTATAGAATTAATTTTATACCACGTCCATCTATTTGTTCCAACCATGGTTAATGTTTAAGCCTGTGATCATTAGTTTTGGTTCTAGTTCGAGACACTGTTCTTAATTTAAATTGTTCATTGTATATCATGTAGTTGGTTATTATAGTTACGAATGGTTACTTTCTCACAAAGTATAGTTATTCTTATCTTCTTTTGTTATGCAATAGTTTTACTTAAAAATTTTTGGTTCCACACAAAATTTGTTTTTGATACATTTTACGACACCTCAAAAGAATATTCAGATTGAAGTGTTGGGACCAGCTTTATATGTCTTATTTCATCCTCTAACTTCTGCAAAATTAGTCTCAAACAAAAATCATGTGAAATCTAATTTTACCTGTTCTTTTCTTATTCTAAATAAATAGGGAGGATTCTCCAGTGAGCACCTTCCGTCCTCGTGCTAAGCCACTCTTCCAGTATCGACACTACAGGTATCAAAAAGAACATTTCCAGTATCGGCATATAATTACTTCCTGAAGTGTTTTTGCTTATACAGAAACAAGTGAGTGTTGTCCAAACAAGTATATTGGAGCTTTCTATATCTCAGTATATAATTCATAAATGCTTTCTATTATAGTAGCTTGCATCTGTAGTCTGTACTACCCAGGACAACATGCTATATTTTTCCTGCCTTCATTTGTTGCAAGGGGCATGTGTGCATTTTGGGTCAATACATTTGCAAGCATGTGTACCTCTTTCATACTTTCATAGTTGTATAATGAAAAAAAACCGAAACTTCTTATTTTTGAAGAGAACATAAAACCTCTCCTATTTCTTTATAATGTAGATCAAGAAAAAGCTTTTTGATAAAAAATAGTTTCAACTGAGAAATGCCTCTTTTGAGAGTGGAATGTACTTCCACAGTACCATCTATTCCACTACCATGTACCACTATTTTTGTTCCATAATATATATATGCCAATTTATTTCATGGTGCAAGATGTTTATTAACATTTTAGGGGATTACTGTATACATGCTAGATATGTGAAGTTTTGAATTTCTCTTCACTCGTGTTTGCAATTGAGTGTATATGTCATATATGATATACCATTGTATGGGGAATGCCCGGGAATGTGTGAAGCAATTGAGCTCCCTTTCAAATATGAAAATTTTCTGGCTTGATTTGTCATTTTCTGCCTATCTATCTCCTTCCCCCACTGTCTCTTACACTGAATGTTTGATCATTGCTAGTGAACAACAACCGTTGCGACTAAATCCTGCAGAGGTGTGTGAAGTTATAGCTGCTGTTTGCTCAGAGATTCCTGCTACCGGCTCATCTAAATTAAGTAACAACAGTGGGAAGCCATCAATAGATGTAGCTGCTAGTGTTCTTGTAAAACTTGTAATTGATATGTAAGTGTTGCTGTTTTATTTACACCTTGATTAGTACATATTTAAAGACATGCTATTTCTCAACTCTAGTTATGTTTCTCTCTCTCTTTTGTTCTCTCCCTGAATGGACTTTTCATACATATTGAAATTAATGATGGTTGTTTAATGAATTTGTCTATGTGCCACCAAAATGCCTTTTCCCCTCAAAGTGAATTTGTCAATGTGCAACCATATCAGGGACATGGCTTCTTAGAACATGTAACTCATTAGCTAGGGAAGGTATCATGTGCTTCTGGGATGGCATGTATGATTGTGTGAATGCTTCTGAATTTTGATGCTAAGTGTTGGCTTATTTTGTTTATTTCAAAATGTGAAAAGTGAATGAGTGGTCAGTGCCTTTCATTGATTCATATGCTTATATTATGCCAAGTTCGGTCTTTCTTCTGCTAAGGTCTTTTGGACTTAAGTCAGTCCTTTTACTCTTCTAAAAAATTATTGAAAGTTGAATGCTTTTTACTACCAATTCATACTCAGACACCATATGATGCGCTTGTTTGTGTTAGATGTAGCTGCCAATTGTCAAGCATCTTGAGAAAAAGAGCTTTTTGCTTCTTAATTGAGTTTAAAACCCTTTTTCTCTTTTTATTGTTTGGCCCAGCTTATGCTTTTTGGAGTATAATGCTCCCATAAGCTGTGGGCCAAAAAAACATATTATGTGATCATGTGAGACCTAAGATGCTGATAAGAAATGACTGTCAAAGTGAAATGTTTGTGTGCTTACTAAAATCTTGGGCTATGATTTTTACTGCATCCTCGAGTTGAAAATATCTAGTGCTGAAGTTAGTTCTGTTTTGTTTATAATATCTAAGGCAATCTTTTCTTACCTTTTGTAGGTATGTTTTAGATTCTGAGCTTGCTGCTCCTCTTACTCTATCAATGCTTGAGGTGCTGCTTTAGTTTTCCCTTTCTCTTCTTTTTTAACTACCCAACCCTCTTACAATCAACTATGATTTAAGATTTTTTGTTCTTTCAAAATGCAGGAAATGATCAATGCTCCTCGGTTGGCATCAAAAGCTAGGGCTTTTGATTTAATTCTTAATCTTGGAATTCATGCTCACTTATTGGAGCCTCCAGCAGCTGATGAGGCTTCCACAATTGCGGAAGAATATTCTGAAGAAGCATATTTTGACTGCGAAACTCAATTTTCTCCAGAAAGGAAAAAATCAACAGGAAATTCTTCGGCTATCGATAAATTTGAGTGTTGGATTTTAGGCATTCTTTATGAGGTTCTTCTTCATCTTGTTCAGGTAGATTTGATATCCATACATATAAAGGTGTTTTACCGTTGTTTTTAATGTTGAAGGAATTAATGCCCAATTTTAATTATTCATTGTCTTTCATGCGATAAAGCCTTTTTATATTACCATGTGCAGATGGAAGAGAGCGAAGAGTCTGTATGGGCTTCTGCCCTCAGTTGTTTACTTTATTTTGTGTGTGATAGAGGCAGAATACGGAGAAGTAGACTTAGAGGCCTTGACATAAGGGTGAGTCATTCCATCTGTAGCAAAAAAACAAATCTTGCATGAATTGCTTATAAAAAAAATAAAGAGGGAATTGCATGCAATTCCTTTTTCAGATCTGTATATTCACAAAATCTTCAGTGGTAAAGTAAAAGACACCTTGTTTTCATTGTATGACCTCAGCTTCCACATAATGTCTTTTTCCTAGTTGCAACATGCATCACTGCTTCATGACTGTTTACACTTTTGCAATTATATACTAGTCCATGTAGAAATTATTTCTACTTCTATTTGCAGGTTGTTAAGGTACTCATACAAGTTAGCACTAAAAACTCATGGGCAGAAGTAGTTCATTCCAAGCTTATTGGCATGTTAACAAATATGTTCTATGAAATTCACGAAGAGTCTGATAAAGCTCTTTCAGCTATACCTGTTTTTCTTGTTCAGCAAGTTGATCTGATTGGAGGAATGGAATTCATATTTGTGGAGGTAATTGCTCTAGCTATTCTTGCAACTACATACATATTTCCAATTAGAAAGCTTTCTTTCATTGTGCCTTGTAGGACTGTCTATAAAGTCTAATAGGTTATACTATATTTAAGAAGTTTTTTGTTGTTGGCAGAGGTGTATATATAAATTTGCAAAACTAGAGTAAGTTCATCTGAATATGCTGCTGAGTTTCATCAGAAAAAAAGTCCGCTTACCCTTTGGAGGAGTTATTTTTATTATTTATATACTGCTTTCTTTATCTGGTTAGTAGTCATCACGTATTAGTTCAATATATTTATCTTATGCAGTTCTGCCCTCTTCTTCTCTGTCAGTTCGAGGGAAGTCGCCGACGCAGTCATACCATTTTTTTTTTAAATAAAAAATAAAGTTAAAAATGGGTAGGTTTTATGGGTTTGGACGCCGAATCGGCGTCCTTGGCGTCGTCTGGGATGCCTAGGCAACGCCGGAACTCGCCTCACCAGTTTCAGGCGAGGCCTCCAGGCGTCGCCTAGGCGACGCCATGATAACTATTGTTAGGAACTTATACTGCAGTGACATAATCAGTGTTGCAAAAATCGCCCCTAGGCGGCGCCCGGCCGCATCAAGGAACGCCGGAATCGGCCTCCTCAGCGGCCGGGCGCCTAGACGGCCTAGTCGGCCGAATAACCCAAAAAAAAAAAACGCAAGTTGTGGTTCAGATCTGCTCACCAAGAAATTGTTGTCGTCGCCTGCCTTCGGTTCAGATCTGCTTGCGTCGCCGAAGGAATTGTTGCAGTAACCCTTTTCACCACGAGAAGCAGCAGATCGGCAGCAAGCTGTGGCGACGGCGGCGAAGCAGCAGTCTCCTCTTGGCCTTGAACCTTCGTCTCTCTCCTCGACCAGCAGCGATGGTGGTAGGCGACGGCGGTGGAGCCGTGGAGGGAGAGCAACGGCGACGGGATGAGCTCCGTCGAGGTTCTTCTCCTCTTCCCCTCCGTTCGGCGAAACAGCGTGGAGATCTACTCGCGTTGGATCAGATCTGGCGGTGTTTTGTATTTCCTTGATTAATAACTTAATACTTAGATATTATCTATAGCGGTGTTGTATTTCCTTAATTAATAATTTAATACTTAGATAGTATCTATCTACAGATTACGAACGAGTGAACTACAAGTCTACAACCTTGATTAATTATAGAGTAACACAACTCGGGCGCCTAGGCGGCTAGGCGCCCTAGGCGCTAGGCGCCCCAGGCGCTAGGCGCCCCAGGCGCTAGGCGCCCCAGGCGCTAGGCGCCCCCCAGGTGCCTAACGATTTTTGCAACCTTGGACATAATATATCTGGCATTAACCTTGACTATCTTCCTACTCCCTTAAGGTCAAGTTTGAACCTCTGGATGATGGGTATTGGTTTATGATTTTTCTTTTGACCATAATTTGCCTGAAATTCTTGTTGAACATATTTAAATGTCACACTTATATATCTTTCTGATTTATAACTGCAGTTAATGCTGTCAAACTCCAGGGAAGAGAGAAGGAACCTATACCTGGTTCTTTTTGATTACGTTGTGCATCAAATTAATGAGGCATGCATAGTGGCTGGAATTTCTGAATATAGTGATGATGAAGTTCAGCCTATTGCAACACTGCTTATGCTTGCAGATGCACCTGAAGCCTTACACATTTCAATCAAACTCGGGGTGGAAGGTATTTTGGAGCTTTTGCGAAGATCTATATATACTCCACTATCAAGATATCCTAGTAGTGATCGGCTTATTACGGTAATGCTCATATCATTTGTGTTTATCTACTTAGCCATTGACTTAGATGTGTTAATCTCATAGTGGAAGGATTTGGGGGCAAAGTTGTACTTCCTCAATGTTAAACCTGAATTACATATTTTACACTTCATTAACATGCTTTTGTTTTTGGGAGTAATTCATTTATGTTTTTTTTTTTTTTTTTTTTTTTAAATATTTAAATTAGATATCCATAAATTCTTTTTATGGGCATTGTAAAAGAGCTCTAGTGCTCCATTAATTGGCTTTTCCTATTGTGTCCACCCCCCCCCCCCCCCCCCCCCCCCATTTTGTAGTTTTGGGGAGAGGGTTAGAGTGCTAAAGGATGGGATTTTACAAATAAGGCCCTGAATTGTGTACATGATAATTGATCAGAAGCTAAGGCATAGATTGATCTATGTAATGACATTTAGCATTCCTCATTAATAATGAGTTATCTCCTACATACAAATCCCCTATAGAACCAAAGGTGCAAGTCAGGGAATTTTTGGAAATATGGTGATATTTGATTTATTTGCCTTCTTATATAATCTTGGGAGTTGTCATCTGACTGTGTTTTCATTGACAGTTCTTGGAAAAAATTGTTGAGAAACTTGAGGTGCTTATAAAGTCATTTACACATCTAGACAAAGAGTTTGCTCATTCAAGACAAATAACTAAATCTCTCAAAACTTTGAAAAGCATCGATGAAGTTTTACTTATCACAAAGGGCATTGATGGAGTTTCTGGAAACAGTATTCACATGAAGGCGAAGCTCTCTTGGGCTACTTTACATTCTCTTCTTCATTCAGAGAGACAAGCTTGTCGACATAATGGCTATCTATGGTTGGGTGATCTACTGATTGCAGAAATTACTGAGTCAAGGGATGCGAGCATATGGTCAAGCATCAGAAAGTTGCAGCAGAAAATTAATTCCCTTGCTAAAGTTAATGACTATTCACCAGATTTAGATATCCCCTTATCCATTTGGCTCATGTTTGGGATGCTAAAGTCAAAAAATAACCTTATTAGATTGGGATTCCTATTTGTTCTGGAGAGGCTTCTTATGCGATGTAAATTTTTGTTGGATGAGAGTGAAGTCCAACATGTGATTAGTGGTGAAGCTGTTGGAAATACACATGACAAGAGTCGCCTTGAGAAAGCAAATGCAGTTATAGATATTATGAGTAGTGCATTGTCCCTGATGGCCCAGTTAAATGAAACTGACTGCTTGAATATATTAAAGGTACTTTTCTCTGGAGCTATATTACTTTTGGAACACATTTCATTACCAGTGCTTTATGAGGACAGGAAAACTAATGCAATGGTATATAATGTTGTGCCAAGCATTATGCATGATTAAAATGTGTCATACTTTATCTACAGTCTGATAAAAAAAATATTGATTGTACAAAGTCATTTTCTGGTAAAATGTCTTTCTTTAGGTTAACTGTTGATGCAAAAATATCTTCAAGTATTGCGATTTTACCTGATTAAAAAAAATTCCTTGACATCTACTATGCTTACAAATGGTCTTTTTCCGTGAATTCTCTCGCTCTCTCTTTTGTTTTATTTATTTATTTATTTATTCCTATGTGTTTTGTGGTAAAATGTTTGCTTTCTTCTATCTGTCAGCAAATATAATTTGGTTATAAGAAATAATATTTGCTTCTATCTTTATTCTTTAAATTGATTGACAAGTTTTTCAATGCCATGTGAAGTCCACACAAATTGGAATTCCTGTTGCTGTAAATGATGCTCAACCTTTTGTACTTATGCTGTTGGTATTGTTGGTTAGTTTGTGATTTGATCATATTATTGCATTGGCGGGCTTTCATTGCACAGATGTGTGAAATCCTGCTGTCTCAATTGTGCCTTAAAGTTTCGTCAAATGCTACAACATCTGGTGCTAAAGACACTGGCTGGAACAAGAAGGGTGATACTGGGGAACTTCTGTCTCAGTATCTAGAGGAACCTTTCAGAGAAACAAGTACCAAACATGGCAAAAGTAAAGACCCTCCAATATGTGAAACTGCGTCCATGGCAGCACTGCTTCTTCATGGACAAGCAATTGCTCCTATGCAATTGGTTGCACGAGTTCCTACTGATTTGTTTTACTGGCCATTGATCCAACTAGCCGGTGCGGCAACAGACAATATTGCATTAGGGGTATCTGTTGGTAGCAAAGGAAGAGGAAATGTTCCTGGTGCCACTTCAGACATAAGAGCTACCCTGTTATTACTTTTAATCGGTAAATGCACTGATGATCCCGCAGCTTTTGAAGATGTTGGCGGGGAGCCATTCTTTAGGTAATTGTCTTGATGTATTCCTCTGATTAGATTCATCCTTGTTAAGTGATAGTAGCTTGTTTTAAACTTTTAATGCATGGGTACTTTTCAGGGCATTACTGGACGATATAGATTCAAGAGTTGCATATTACTCCTCTACTTTCCTTCTAAAGGCAAGTGCTTTTGTTGCTTTGCTGAAAATGAGCCTTTGCAATCAAATAACTATAACTGCAATGTTAATTGTCCTTTAAATGGCATTTTGCAGAGGAGGATGTCAGAAGAACCTGAAAGTTACCAGCGTTTGCTACATAATCTTGTTTCAAAGGCTCAGCAGGTAAGAACACATTCAATGATTCTGTTTAACCCGATATGTCTGAATTTGAAAACACAAGCTGTCATTCATCCTGTTCTTCCTTTTCCACTGATGTGATGCTTATTTATTCTTTTGTGACTATTGAAAAGATTATTTAAATTTATGTTGGAAAAAGAAGCAGTTTATGTGATTATTACTATGGTCAATCAATTTCTGCTGTTCCTTTTGCAGAGCAACAACGAAAAACTGTTAGAGAATCCTTACCTCCAGATGCGAGGCATACTGCAGCTATCAAGTGACTAATCCTATACTCTTTTCCCAACCTCAACAATCTGCCAACTGAAGAATCTCGATGTATTTCAGTCATAGTGATAGCAAAAGCATAACAGATCTCATGCTACACATGATTAAGCACAATGCAGCTTTTCTGGAAAAAATTTTAGAAATTCAACTTCTAACCCAATTGTGTGTACACCAAAGGACACAGTTAAGAAACTCCATATTCACCCCAAGTTCGAGGGCTTATGACATATTTCAAGAGTTTGTTGGCCAAAATTATGATAGAGATGTTGTTTGACCTTCCAATGGAAGCTTAACATCGAGGCATCTTCAGGTACTGATTATTTTCTCTAGTAGTTATAAAGTATAAACTTACGAATCTTCACTTTCATAATTTCTTTTCATCACTTCCTTCAATATCAACCTTAGAGAAATTCTACTGTACATATAGTATTGAAGAATATGTAGTATCAAGTACACCAACGAACATGCTTAGGTGGCTACATTTGATTAATCCGGGGAGCAATGTATATAAGTTATGAAACTATATTAGCGTGTTTAACTTTGTCTGCAAATGGCATTTTCATATCAAGACTGAAATGCCATGATAAGGAACAATTTTTCTACATTAGCGTCGTTTATGACCCTGCTCCTGATACCTATGGGTTTATTATGCTTTGAATGTAGGAGCAGGTAACTGTATACCAACTTTTAGGACGATAGTGAATCTTGTACAGGAAAAATCATCGGGCATCCATATTTTTCCCCGCAAAGGATGAAGGCGATGGTGTTTCTGGAACGTGCTTAGTAAGTCGCTTATGAAAGTTTTACTCATCAATCAATGCAACTAAAGTCTAAAGACAGCCATTAGAGTGTGTTTGTATGCTTTTGTATTTGTCGGTAGTTTTTTTTTTTTTTTTGTGGTGAAAATTTTGCAAGGGTCCATTACTAGTGTGGTAAATAGTCTTTTTTTCCCATATTTTTTAATGCGTGAAATTTTGTTTTCTGTGTTTGATGGGGATTCATCCCCCATAGGTATGTTGTAAATTTTTTGACATGTAAATTATTCAAGTAATTTATAAGTTACTAAATAGGCATCATGGGACTTGTGTTTTTATTAATCTATGTATGAGTATTTGGTTGATGTGCAAATTTGAATGGCAAATAATATCTTGCACATCAGGTTAACCTTGCAAAGCAGATCTGAATATCTGATACATAATATTTTTACTATATTGTAAATTTATTTTATTTTATTATATGTTTATATTTTTATAGGTTTATTATATTTTGATATAAATTTATTTTTAGTATATTGTAAATTTATTTTACTTTATTGTATATTTATATTTTAAAAGGTTTATTATAAGTTGATTGTTGATACCAGTTCATTTTTAGTGTATTGTATGTCAAAATAAACTTGTAATCTAAAAATGAGCTCACATTATTGTGATCAGATAGCATTTGAATATCTTATAGTTACATTAATTGAATTGAAATCAATATATACCTTTGATCTTCCACATTGGTCATAGTTAAAGCACTTGAAACCGATTATAGCCCGACCCAAAGCACTTGAAACCGAACCATAATGCTATTATTTCGGTTTGGACTTTGGATGGTAGAATACGGGACCCGAACATTTCGGGTACTCGAACTTTTAGTCGGTTCGAAACCAAACACAACCTGTGCCTACCCCTATCTATGATACTCGTTCCTAACATGAATATGTGAGACACGAGTTTTCGGTGATTTAAGTGTCACTTATCCATACTCGGTGCAATTAGACACGTTACCCATGCAAATCGATACAGTACCATTACAACTTAATGTTTTTCTATAAACCATGCATTTAATACAAGCCATTTATCTGTTAATATGTTATTTCTTTGTCCTCAATCAATCAAAAACAGAAATTAATGGACTAGCACAATAATAATATTGAGTAAGGCTGCAGCATGTGGAAGTATATTGGAAATGTAGACCAAAATTTGCAGTTTAGTAGTGCTACAACTAAAGATATGTCAAGAAACTAGCAAGGATGAACAAGGTCTTAATAATACCTATCTAAAAGATCTATTCAAATTGCACTAGTGTGTCCTTGGTGATTTTTCTTCCTCCTGCATTTCTGTTCTCTCCTCTTGGAGATCTGAATACTTCATCCCGATCTCCAGCTCCACTTTTTTCTCATACAAGTATATGTTGAATTTGTCCAATTCCTTCATAGCTGTCTTTGCGTCTGAGAGACTGGGGAAAACAACTTCTCCAGACCCCTGTGACAATTAGTGCAATTATTAGTCCAAAACAAATTAAAAATTAAGGAGTAATAAATATACTTATATACCAATGATCTGCCAATGCGATCATAGTGAATACTGCATTGTAAAACAGATTTAAACTTTGAAAAGAGTCCCTGCACACAACCACATAAACACGATTATTATATACTATAATTAGCACAATTTATATATTGCAAGAGTGAACTTTATACCATGATATCCTGCACGGATGTGGCATAGGCCAAATTAGATAAATAAATTTTCGTCCCTGTAACTCTTGACGGCATATATGATATTTCAAATCCCTGCAGACAATTTTGATTTCATGTATACATCTATAAACTAGCTTATAATAAACTTAAATTTAATAAAATTCAGACCTTATCAACTGAATACGGCCCATAAAAGTAAAGTTTACGTTTCTTGGAGAGTTCACTGGTATTTTGAATGGGATTTAGTCCCCCATCCTGAGGAGCACCAGTTTGATCGGGATTTGTTTCCGCCATTGGAGGGCGAGAGGGAGATTCTGAGAATTCACAAATCGCAAATTGGGACTTGGGAGGATTAGAAACAGGGTAACCATTTTTTATTTAGAATACTAATACTAATTACTACGGAGTATTAATTAGTATACCATTTTTTATTTAGAATACTAATTAGTATACCATTTTTATTTAGAAACAGAAAGGGCATTAGAGAGTTCTAGAGTTAGGGTTTACCATTTTTTATGGAAATTAAGATAAGATGCAAGATCTGGTTATATTCTTACAAATGCTTCCCACGGTTTTATTTCTTTCGGTTATTTTTTGTTTAGTTTAATGCCAATTAATTTTGGTTGAAATATAATTTAAATTCGATAAAGACGTATGGTTGAAATATAATATAATTTGACTGTAAAGAATTTAAAAAGTATTAAAATAAAAAATGTAAATTCAATCTTACCACCAAAAAAAAAAAAAAAAAAAAAAAACTTATTTTTTTTATTTGATGTGGAGACTGGAAGGGCACAACCGCATAAAGAAACACATAAAAAGGTAGTCTTTGCGGATATGAGGCAGCGTCATTTGGTTCCCAAAAATATGCTCAGCTATCTCTCCTGATGGGCAAGACGGAAACAAGGTTAAATCCCAACTAACGTCGCAATTCCTTGCAAGTTAATTAGTGACTTAGTTTTGTTCACGACGGATGTGGTAGCATTTGATAGTCTAGCTCTTTTTCATCTAGTACTTACATTCGATAATTAGATTAAACAAAGGACCGCCGCCCTCTGAAGAGAAACTCATATCATTTATACAGTGCACCAAGTTTGAGGAGTCCCTCTGTATAATCACTCTTTCAATGTTTTTGGTCCAAGCCCTCTTAAGACCGTATCTGATAGCCTTGACCTCAGCATTATTTTAGGGTTTTTTTTTTTTAAAAAAAATTTATTTTATTTAAAGTCTAGATAAGTGGAGGTCTAGTCTAGACTCAGTGACAAGGGTCGATTGCCTTGATCTCAGTGTCCAAAGGATAGCCATAGATGTTGTCTCATCATTTTTTTTTTTAAATAAAGAAACTATATATATTATTAAAGATTTTTCAATTGATCTACCAAATCAACGCCACATTTGAATAAAAGTATACATGAAGATAAGATTATGACTCAATTACACTTTTTACTAGTTTAAAGTGTCTGAATTTTTTCAGTTTTTTTTTTTTCTTTTCAGTTAAAGACTTAATTGTAATATTTACTTAACTTAGAAGACTTATTTAAATATTTTTCCAAAACAATTTATGATGTACTAGAAATTTGAAATTCTGGGACGGTGCACGGAACAAGTAATTTCTTCAAAGGGCCCAACCGGATTCGTAACGGTGACCTCTTGATCTGCAGTCAAATGCCCTACCACTGAGCTATGGACCCTTGTTGGTGACTGTTTTATTTAAAAGGCATTTATAAGATACGCTCTTCCATGGAGAATCCAGACTCCGATCCACGTAAACACTATTGTTTAACAATGTAGGCTACAAATGCATGGGAAAGAATAATGAGCAAAATGTATTCAGAAAAGTTTGTGTCTTCTACACTTTTAACATGAAAAGAATAAGACAATGTTGCAAAACACGTTTTGCGTTTTAAAATACGCGATTTGAAAAAAAAAATTGTCCAAAACAGACAATCGAGTCAAAAGTTATACATTCCCGAAGTTTTTGCAATTTTAAAATGCAAAAAATAATAATAATAATAATAATAATAATAATAAAGCGCCGGTTCAGCCGACTAGACCGCGGAAGAGGCCGATTCCGGCCTTCTTCGCAGCGGCGGCCGAGCGCCTAGCGCCTAGGCGCCGATTGCGCGATTTTTGCAACCTTGGAATAAGGTATGTAAACAAATAGATAAAAGTAATTCTTTTTTTTTTTTAAGGTAGATAAAAGTAATTCTTAATTATTAATTATAAAATTTTATCTAAATGACATCCTTTACCCTCTCAATTAAAAATCCTTTTGACATTTTTATTATTATTATTATTATTATTATTATTATTATTATTATTATTATTATTATTAATTCATCCTCATTTTGCGACTCCTTTACCACCAAACATATTCATTCATCTTCATTCGAACAACTCTTCAGCAACCTTGTAATCCCTGGTATGATTTTTCTTTATATTTTGTGTGTTGTTGATATATATGTTCTTTGGGTGTGTTTGTATGTGAGACACAAATTTGTCAGTGATTTTTTTTCTTTTTACATTGTATGTTAGTCGTAGGGAAGTGAAAATATTTATGTGTATTATGTTAGGCGACTTTGTTTTCAAATTCGGTGTCTTGCCCGCTTCTATTTTAGGCCGTTGTCGATTACTTGTTCGACTCTGAGTTTTTATTTAAAAATGTATTTTTTGCTTAAATTAATTCTAACACTATTGATGCATTTTTATATACCTAATGGTGCAGTCGCACCGACCGCATATTAAGGCAAGACTTCGATACATTAGTTTCTGAGTTCTGACCATGTTCCTGCTACCTTTTATGTGTATATGCTTTGGATGTAGAAACATGTTACTGTATACCAACTTTTAGGACAATAGTGACTCTTGTACAAGAAAAACCATCGGTCATTCATATTTTTTCCCGCGAAAGATGAAGATGATGGTTCGGGAGGAGTGGAAGCCAAAGAACATAAACCCAAGAAAAAATCAGGAATAAGAAGTGCAAGGAAGACAGCAAATTCACGTGTCAAATGTTTTTTAAAGAAAAAATTCATGTGGCAATTCTAGTAAGCATAAACTTGCAAGTTGCTAAAAATGTCAATTGCAACATTTTGCAGGTTTCGTGGATTTATTTGGAGTTTATTAGAGTTGAGTGGCTTAATTGCTATTTCTCAAATAATTGAATTGAATGGTTTATTTGTACCTTTTATATTAAGGCTGCAGCATGTATAAGTATATTGAAAATGTACACCAAAATTTGCAGTTTAGTAGTGCTACAAGTCTACAACTAAAGAAATGTCAAGAAACTATATCATGCCATTCTTGCATGAGAAATTGACAGTCATATAAACTATACTAATACAGTATCTGAGACCAACTTCCATACAATGCAAAATAGCCTATACCTGCAGTATATACCACACTATCCAAGTCATCTTAAACTCTGGTTTCTAACATAGCAGAAGAACTAGGAGCAGGGTCATGAACAAAACAACAGCAGTGCATCCATCATCATATCTGATAAGTGATAACACACACACACACATATATATCAGTCTTTTCTCTTAGCATCTGAACGATACCTATCCAAATCAGCATCTAGTTCTGCATTAGTGACATGTCTATGGTGGCTTCTATCCCTCCAGCCTTCATGTCCATGAGGCTTAAATTGTGGGTCTTGTGCTCTACTGCCAGAACCCCCAGCCCTTGGCAACCTACTAGACTCACCTTCTTCATATCCTGAAAGGTTTGGTGGTATACTTGGTGGTACACTGCTCAAGAATTCAAAATCTGACTGTTAAAACAATGATTTATTCAACAGTAATTAAGACCACATATGTCAACAGGCCCCTCTCTCCCAAAGCATATTAACAATATAATAGACAGGGGCAAGGTATGGAACTATGAATTTCAGTTTGTTGTCAAAGGGTAGAGGAGTAGAGAAATGCAACACTATCCCAACATTTTGCCATGCTTAGGGCAGGCATTTCAACAATGATATTCGCATCCAAGGTAGCACAGAAACATTACACAAAGAAACGGAACACTAGAAACATATAAAAGAAACACCAAATGTGGAAGATGAAAGATTAAAGATTAAACAAAGCTTACAACTGAAAAGGTGTGATTGGTAATGATCCCTGAAAAAGACCAGGCAAAGGCACAGGGGCAATTTCAACATGCACTCCAACCTCGGCAATCTTAATTGGTCTCCCATCAAGGGGTACATTGTTGTATGTCCTCATGGCTGCCATAGCATCTGAGTGGCGAAAGAAAACAACCTCTCCAGTTCCCTGTAACAATTATATTATATCAACCCCAGTATTCACAGAAATAGATTATTGAACAGCTTCAAAAAATCAGTTGATAAATCATCAATATACCATGGATCTGCCAGTCCTGTCATAGTGAACTCCAAAATTTTGCAAATGGCCAATTTCTGAAAACAGTGTCTGAACCACATAAACAATTGTTATATACTTCATCCATCCCATTTGATAGGTGGAAGCTTGATAGGTGGAAGCTTGACTAAAGTTATTTTTAATTCATTTTTTCATAATGTTAAGTTTAGTATTAGTATATAAAACTTATATAAGTATGAACATTTTAGGGGCAATGTACATATATAACAGTGATATAAGCCGTTTGAACAGTAGTGTGGAGTTTCACAAAGATTTTCACGGTGTGTATGAATAAATTGCAAAAGGAAATGAAAAAAATAGAGAGAGAATTTACTCTGATATCTTCGTCGGAAACGCTATATGCCAAGTTGGATATATACAGCTTCCTCCCACGTTCTCCACCTTGCCTAATTTCCAATGGATTTTGAAATCCCTGCAGTTTTAGTTTCACGTAAAGGTAATGTATAAGCTAGCTGATAAGCATACACGATACACGATATTCAAGGTGAGAAACTCGGATCGAAGTCGGAAAGAGAATGGAGAGAGAATACATACCACATGAACTGTGTAAGGCGACACTCTCGGAGAAGGATCATGGTGCCGTGACCGGCGAGTTGGATCCGGAGCATCTGACCTGGAACGATTGGGAATCTCTTGATCACCGGCGGCTGGGAGCTCCCTGGAACGGCGAGGGCCTCGGCGAACATGAACCTGCTCATCGGCGGCAGCTAGACTGGGATCAGGATCCTGCACGCCGGGGGAATAATACACCATTTTTGGAAAAATCTTAGAGAGAGAAAGGAAGAGAGAGAGATAGTTGCAGTTTTCCGAATTCTGAGGGAGTAGTGCTCCCAGTGCCAGTGTTGCAGTGCGCAGGAAGAAGGCAAGCCCGCGAGCTGAAGCTTTAAAGCATGGGAGTACTCAAATTACTAACTTGTCCTTCATGTGTATATTTAATTTCTTCAGTTATATTTTGTTTTGCATTCATTTATGAATTATGTTGTACTAGACTAGAAATTTAAAATATTAAAATCAAGTAAAAAAAATAAAGGGAAAATGGTCAAATAGGCCCTCGAATTTTAGCTTAAAAGTCAATTAGGCCCCTAAATTTTTTAAAGGTGCAATTACACCCATCAACAATTCATTTAGGTGCAATGAAGCCCAAAAATAAGTTAATGACCTGCGATCACAGGTCATTAGGGTTCAGGCCACCTTCCGGCGAATTTTCTGGCAAAAAAAAGTGACCAGCAACCGACCCAGACTTGTCGAAATTTTGCCGGTCATTTTTTTTGTCGGAAATTTCGTCGGCCACTTTTTTTTTTTTTTTGCTGGAAAATTCGCCGGAAGGTGGTCTGAACCCTAATGACCTGTGATAGCAGGTCATTAATTTATTTTTGGGCTTCATTGCACTTAAATGAATTGTTGATGGGTGTAATTGCACATTTAAAAAGTTTAGGGGCCTAATTGACTTTTAAGCTAAAGTTCGAGGGCCTATTTGACCCTTTTCCCAAAAATAAATCAATATAATGTTATTTGTTACGTAACTCATGTGTTTGCACGGGTGACGAGTTCTCCTTTTGTTTTTGGGGTGTGGGATTTATCCTTGCCTAATTGTATTTCGAATTTGTTTGGTGATTTAGTATAAGTTGATTGTTTGGTTAAAAAATAATAATAATTGCACCTTTTTTGTGGTTTAGTGTAGCACCACGGTCCATGGGGCACTTTGTTATACATTTCTAATGGTTGATACATCGTTTCTTACACTTTTACATAGTTTTTTATAGTTTGTATAGGATTTTATAGGGAGGGTTCTAGACAAAGACTAATAGGATAAGCAGTGTTACAAAAATCGCGCCTAGGAGCTCTAGGCGCCCACCTAGGTGGTCCCCAGACGCCTAGCAATTTTTTCAATCTTGAGGATAAGTAAATCTCCACCGGCCATTAAGTAGATGTAATTGCTATAAATGCCCCTTATGGAAGCTCATTTGTAACAACTCCAAGAATCCAAGTTATAGTAAAGTTTTGGAGTTGTTTCTTAAACTTTCTTGTAAGGTCTTGCTTTATTCAATTCCTTGAGTAATCCATCAATTAATTAGCATCGATCTTTAACTAAAAATGCAATTACTTCTAACTAAAAACATATGAAAGGTTCTAACATTTGTCAAACCATACACTTTAATTTGCATAGTATTTACTATAAAAATTTAGAAAAATTATAAGGTACCAATTTGCACGAAATACAATACAAAATATATTTTTCATTGTAAGACCAAATTTTACAATATAGTAAGAAATGTATGTTAAGAAACTATATCTGAACTATACTAATACAGTATCTGAGACCAACTTCTATACAATGCAAAATATCATATACCTTATATACCACATTAAAGTCTTATATTAAAACTAGGAGTACTCAAATTACAAACTTGCCCTTCATGTGTATATTTAATTACCACTAAAATTAAGAGAAACAGCTTGAAGTCTGAGTGGAATTTCCAACTTGCCCTTCATGTGTATATTTAATATTTATATTTTAAGAAATAATTAACATATAACCCCAATATATAATGTGTATATTATTATTATTATTATTATTATTATTATTATTGAAAATAAAAAATATATATGGTGAATGCATGTGCATGGTAGCAATAGTGGAAAAGATAACGGAAGTTATAACGGTAGGGGTATATTTGTCCTAAATATTGTATAGTACAACATCTATAGCATAATGTATCATAAAACTTAACGGAAAAAACGGACATAAATGAACGGTATAACCTTCATCCGCACTTATTATATTTATATATATATATATATATATATATATATATATATATATATATATATATATATATATAAATTTTTAAATTTGTATTCAATTAAAATAGATAATTAACCAAATATATGGAATTTCAAAAATAAATAGTGACATAAGTCATATATATATAACCACTTATTGTGTTTTGGGAAAAGATTATTGAGAACCCAAAAATGGTGGATATCAAAAAGGAACCCTATCGTGATTCCAGGGAACCCCGTGCCGCCGGCGAGCAGGATCATGGTACCATTAGAGATGGTAATCGACGTTTCTTGTTTGATTTTCCTGAGGTCTGTATTCTCTCTCCGTTTTCTTTCCGACTTAATTCTCAGTTTCTCACCCGGCCTGTATGTATGTATGTATATGCAATGCTTATCAGCTATATGCGTCTGATCGATCTTCTGTACCTATAAACCAAAACTGCAGGCATTTAGAGGCCGAGTGGGATATGCGGAAGCTGTGACGAAGGTGTATATATACAACTTGGCTGATAGCGTTTCCGAGGATGATCTCAAGGTAAATTTTCAATCTATTCATATCTACAAATAGAAGGGTTTTCTTTAACTATACATTCATACTTATATAACAATCAACAATGGTGCATGCAGACACTGTTTTTAGAAGTTGGCCTTTTGCAAAGTTGCTCCATCTACCGTGACATCAATGGCAGACCCATGGTATATTTATGATTATCTATTAACCGATCTGAAGCTTTTTTTTTTTTTGAAAACAAGTGATAATATAATATAATATTAAGAAATTGTATTGTAATAATCACAGGGATTGGGAGAAGTTGGTTTCTTTGAACACTCAGATGCTATGACAGCTATGAGAATATACAACGAGATAGTCCTTGATGGGAAACCATTGAAGATTGAGGTTGGAGAGAGGTTTGCAATTCCCCTACTGCTGTCTGCCTGTGCATTATATTAAATTTAACTTTCATTTTGCATATTTATAAAACTTAAAAATACCTTAATTTCCTAAAAAGAAAGTAATAAACTGTAAATGTTTTTGCTTATTTAAAGAAAAAAAATGTTCGCATACTTAAGTTTCTACCCACACAAATAACAAAATCTCCTTACTTCAAGCCCCCATAGATAATGGAAGGGTAAATTAAAGTAACTCAATAACCTAGGAGTAACAGTGCCCATAAGCAAGTTTTTTAAAAAATAAAAAAATTACATAATGTTTATAGCGTTTCATTTATAATATTTAGTTACAAATATAATTATATTGTTTTAACAAACAGATTTTGAATTCTTGAACAGGGTACAACCACCACGACGAGCAAACCTTTTTGGTTATTCAGGATATGAAGAAGAAAGTGAGCCTAGTTCTGGCAATAGACTACAAGACCCACAATTTAGGCCTCCTAGTCCTAGACATGAAGTCGGGAGGAATAAAAGAGTATCATATTCCGAAGGATCGAAGAAGAAGAGTAGAGGTGAATGGTTTTGAGCATGGTGTAGAGTATCATATATTCTTGGATAGCTAAGCTAGCTAGTTTTAAGTTTATGTTTTTGTTAAATAAGTTTTTGGTCGTTAGAGAAAAAATAGTTTCAGTTTTGCCACTTCTGTTTGACAAAATACGAAGGACGTTCCTCTTTTTCTTTTCTTTTAATTGCACTCTTTTCTAAATTTAATTTTGAGATTAAATATATCAATTTTTGCACGGAATAAATCTTGCTCATATAATCATATATATATATATATATATAAAAAGAAGTAAATCACACAAATAATAAAGAAACCAAACCATAGACGTTTATGACAAATTTTGTCATTTTCAGTTTGATTATAAAGTTATATATTCATAATTTTTGAATTTCATATTCATAATTATTGAACTTTATATTCACAATTACAGAATTCTATGTTCATAATTACTGAACTATATGTTCATAATTATAAAGCTATATTTTTATAATTTTTGAACTCCATACTCACAATAATTATATTCACAACTCTATGTTCATAATTTTTGAACTATATATTCATAATTATGAACAATTTTGAAACCGTGTCCACCTTACACGATTTCACAACATAATTTGGCATGCACTCATTATGCAATTAAGTCTAGCATACAATTATTCGAATTATTACTCTATGCAATCGTGGATAGTTTTTTTTTTTTTTTTTTTTTGCATGAGGCCTACAAAAGACATTAATGGGCATGTAGTCGGCCCAGAATGCCTCTGTTAAATCGGCCATGTTCTTATAAGAAGGCATAGATATATGAACCAGATAGAAACAAAATCTATCTAATAGTTCAAAGGGCCCAACCGGGTTCGAACCGGTGACCTCTTGATCTGCAATCAAATGCTCTACCACTGAGCTATGGACCCTTTTTATTTACAGTTCTATTTTAAAAGTTATGTATAGTTTAATTTTAACACTAAAGCAACATCCTACGGTCAAACACCTGGTGAACTTATATGTGTCTTCCACGGATTATTCAGAGTCCATATAAACACTGTTCATTTCCACAAGAGATGTTCATCTTCTTCTGAGCATCGTATCCCTTTGGAAAGTCAAACTGGAAATGACAAAATGATATGGATGGGGACCTGAAGTCTGAAGATGATGAAATATTTTCTGTTAAAACTTAAGCTGCTACAAAATTTTAAGTGGTGATCTTAGGGAAGAAGACAAGCAGCGGTAATCTGGCAAGTTTTTACTAATTAAAGTACCATGATACGCCCTTAATTGTAATTATATAACTTAATTAGAAAGAATTAACAGGGCGTTTGGTTGGAGGGGAGAAATTAAGTGGGAAAAGAATTGTAATTTCATGGGAGTTGAATTACTGGGAATAAAGTGGGAATTTAAATTCCAGTGTTTGGTTGACAGGAATAGAATTACTGGGAATTTCAATTCCAATGTTTGGTATACATGGAAATTGAAAGGGAATAAGTATTATAAAGCCAAAAAGTCCATTATTATTGTTAGACATTAATTTTAAGTTAAAAAGGAAAGGATAATTTTGACTCATCACTATCTTTTTTTCTCAAGAAATACCGGGGGGACATGGGATTTTAATTCCATGAAAATGGAGGAATTGCAATTCCATGGAATTGCAATTTCCTCCAACCAAACTACGGAATTTAATGGCCTTTAGAATTAGGTGGGAATTAAGTGAGAAGGGAATTTAAAATCCCTCTAACCAAACGCCCTGTAATTGTATTTATACTGTACCAAGTTAACATAAGGAAATTATGTATGTATATCATAATATATCATTACCTTGTATAGTTAGTATAGTTTTGGAGGGGAAGGAGTGGGATGGGTAATATAGAAGGGTATTGTCAGTCAGTTGTGCAAATTAAAGTAAAAACTAACATCAAAGTTGATGCACATAATCTCCTAAGAAGAAAACACATCACAAATGAAGAAATCTCAAGACCACATGAATAGCAATTAGTGTATGCTTAAAAATCATTTAAGTTTCTCATCGGAGATGAAGCTTTAAAAGGTTTGACCGAACAGCATATCTTAACCAATTCTACTTCCCAGCATAATATAAACATTAGACATAACCAAAGAAAACTTTATGGATAGCTCTCCATTCCAGTGCACAGCAATTCAACTGCAGCCGGCTCGGCTTCTGATGACATCAAGGCCCATTTCAGTAGGGTCAGTGGCTTGCAACTCTATCTGGATGCCATCAAGCTCTCTCTTGAACCTATCTTTGGAGCTTGCATAGATCATCTTGCTTCTCACCCTAGCTGTATCGGGTGACCTTCAATCATTGGAAGGGTAGAGGTCAAATCCCAAAGAACTGACAACGAGATAGTATGATAAAAATTTAAGCAATGTGGACCCTAAAGAATTTATATATTACCAAGCAATGAAGAAAATTCTGCTCTTCTGGCAATTTTCCTTGGTTACAAAATCAAAGTCGTAGACAGCATAGCGACACTCATCTGCAGGAAGGCTGGCAGCGAAGTCCTCATAGCTTTGTGCGGGCTCACCAAGTTTTTCTACAATCACCTGCTTCTGCTTCTCTTCAATCTTGAAAACTACGAAGCGGAAACTTCTTTTTGCCTTCAGTTCTAAAAACTTCAGCTTGCAGTCATCATGAACAGCCATCCCAGATGCTGCATTAGCCTACAGTTTTGTAGATTAAATCCATCATTAATGGTAAATCAACACAAAAAGATTGGGGAACACAAGGAAACTGGCGAATAAGAAGATGAGAAATAGCATCTAACAGTATTAACAGTTGCCTCTTGCCAGCTGGGGATCATCTCACAGATATAACTTTGTTTATACCATAAATCCATAACAAGATCATTCATGTTAAACAATGCTAGATTGTAAGCCTGAGGCGTTCCTACTTCATACTCATTCAACCAACAAAAACATTATCTGCTCTAGATGTGAACAAAAACTAATTAGTTAATACAAACATTTTATATAAGAAAGAGTTGTGATTGATCCAAATCACTTCATACATTCATAGGCACGCTGTTAATCATGAACTTATAATTGGAATTATGATATTATCTTTTGAAATGTAATGTTTGTAATTTGTTGTGTGAAGAATCTACACCTATTTTTAAACATTTTATGGAACTTAGTGAACTATCATCTATAACTGAGATCAGAAGAGAGCTTCTTGCTCTAATTCTCAACTGGCAGGCAAATCTGCTGGTTGCAATTTAAGGTCATAAGTAGTCATCAGAGTGGATACCAAGCATCTATGATTGAAGATCCAGTGAAGGGGGCTCAATATGTAAGAATTCTAGTTCAAAAGCATGCTTAGTTCAAGAGGGCAATATGAGAACCCAATTACTTTATATTCTGATTCAATTCCTTCACTTCAGCTCAACTTCTACCTGGAAACCTTAACACTATCCTTACATACACATATAACAAATTTCAAGAACCCTGTTAAAGTTTCCAAGGATAATTTTAGACTTTACGATCTAACTATAACATGTAATGCTTAGCCGCAAACAAGCTTAACCTTGAATAGTCCGCTGAGCACATCAACAACTACAAATCGAATCTAATCCAGGGAACACGAAATCAATCCAATCCACAATTAATAAACTTGACAAAATTTCCACTCCAAAACTAATTCGATCGTGCATATTATTAGCAGATTCAATAAAATAGAATGAAAAACTCGCCAAATTAATCTATCAAATATTGAATTAAAATAAATGAATAAATTTCATAGGGTGTAATGTGTGTATGTAACGATTACTCACCATGACTTCAGAAGGAGCAGAGAGATCGATCGATCGATTGAGGAAATCTAGGGTTGAGATAAAGGCGTGGAGAAGATTGCAATTCCGATGACGAGACCAGAGATATAGAGATAAATGACTAAATGAGGACTCTCGCTTTTCTTTATTTATTTAATAATTGTTACTCCGTATTTCTGATCTATATTCCTTTCAATTTTTTTTTTTTTTTTTTTTTGCCGTTTACTGTTTTGCCCCCCACCCCACCCCCCCCCCTCCTTTTTTTTTTCCTTCTTTCTTTTCATATATGAGAGAAATGAAAACAAGAGAGATAGGATGCTTGGTTGGAATGAGGAAATTGTGGACGAAACTAATTGTAATTTGATTTAAAAAAAAAAAGAATAATGTGAAAATAAAATATGAACTTAAATTACATTATTTTATATGGAGAAATAAAATTATTTTAAATGAGAAGGGAATAAGTGGTATATCATTATGTAATAATAATAATTATAATTGATACTGCTAACTCTGTGTAAGCAATATAAAATAACACGAGACCAATTAAAGCAAGTAAAATCTTTATTGATCCCGGTAAAGGCCCTAAGTACAATCTACTTGGCTGTTCTGATTACCGACTGACTGCGGTCGGGATTCTCTAACAACAACCTATCGATCGTCCAAAAGTCCCTTACACTGTAGCTACTGTGGGTATTTATAGCCGCTATGCCGGGGACAGGATTCCAGCCGTTCGGCATGTCCTCCACGTAGCCACCACGTGTCATCCTCCCGGGTGCCCTGCCTGTCGATGTAAAGAGCCGCCACGTGTCCGTCGTCAGCTCGTTCGCCAAAGGGCTACCGCTCGGTGGTCGACACCGCCGCTCGGGCAACTCCCGGTCGGTCTACGACCGAGTTCTTCTCGTGGAGCCCGACCTGTTACCTGCAAAGACAAGGAGAAAAGGACAAAGGCTTCTCGGTCGTGGTGAAGCTATGTCGGTCGGGATATTCCCTACCAAGAGCCCCCCAGCCCGGGCCTTTTTGATCAGTCGGGAAAAAACGGGACGGGATGAAGAAGCCCAACCGTCGGCCATCAAGCCGACCCGCCAGCTGTCATTCCCTCCTACGCCACGTGTCGGCCTCTACCAGCCTCGGCGATCCCATCCGTCGCCTCGGAGGGTCGAGTATCCCGGGCGGTGCACTCGACTAAGAAGTCAGCAAGGGCCTGACCTTTGATAGCAGGTCTTGGTCGGTATTCGATCGCGTACTGGGTCAGCATTAACGCCCATTTGACTAGGCGACCGGATGAAGAGGCGGTGCGGAGGACTGGTCCGATCGGCTGATCGGTCAACACGCGAATCGCTCGACCCTGGAAGTAGGGAGCCAACTTCTTCG